AAAAATAAAAAAATATATATATATATACAGTATATATAACACACGGACTATAATTTACTCTAAAATACTGTTAAAAATGTTGACTACAATATTAAATAGCATCTTTTTACACACACACACACACACACACACACACACACTTATATTCTATTTTAGTCAACATGAAACGGATTTTATTAAAAATATTTCAAATAAATTATCGTTATTGTGTATTGATCATTTTCTGCTTTTTAATGTCAATTTTAGTTAAAGTTTTAGTCATTTTGTTGTGTGTTTTTGTCATTTGTATTACTTTGTGTTGTTTTTAAATGTCTCTCTCTCTCTATATATATATATATAATTATTATTATTATTTTTTTTTCACCCAAAAATTTAAATTCTGTTATTACTTACTCACCCTCATGTTGTTACAAACCCTTAAGACCTTCGTTCATCTTCAGAACACAAATTAAGATATTTTTGATGAAATCCGAGAGCTTTCTGACCCTCCATTCTGACAGCAAGGGAACTACCACGTTCCAAGGCCCAGAAACGTAGTAAGAACATCGTTAAAATAGTCCATGTGACATCAGTGGTTCAACCGTAATTTTATGAAGCTACGAGAATACTTTTTGTGCACAAAGAAAACAAAAATAATGACTTTATTCAACAATTTCTTGTCTTCCGGGTCAGTCTCCACCACCATTCACTAGAGAACCACAACGTGTGTGTGTGGTGCTGCTGACGCTGGAGCCAGCGTTCTAATGTAGAACACACATGCGGTGAGTCTTGTTTACAAGCAGAGGAATGCACACGAATGCGTTGTGGTACTGTCATGAATGGTGGCGGAGACTGACCGGAACAGAAGAAATTGTTGAATAAAGTTGTTATTTTGGTTTTCTTTCTTGAATTTGGTAGTTCCCTTGCTGTCTATGGAGGATCAGAAAGCTCTCGGATTTCATCAAAAATATCTTAATTTGTGTTCCAAAGATGAACGAAGGTCTTATGGTTTTGTAACGATAGGAGGGTGAGTAATTAATGACAGAACTTTTATTAATTATAAAAATGTATTGTTATATACACAATAACTGAGGTTTAGTAAACATTCCAGATTTCATCAATTCAATTTAATTCCGGTTATGTATTCCTCCTTATATTTTTACTTTCAGTGGTTCAACAAGACAGATTACCCAATATTTAAACAGTATCAGCGATATCGGCGCTTACACCCTCAACAGCCATTTTATATTCTGCACCCCCAAATGGAATGGCAGCTGTGGCAGCGAATACAAGACAATATGGTGGAGACCATACAAAAAAACCCACCCTCATCAGGCTTGTTGGGTAAGTTATATCGAGGAAAATCTACCCACAAATGGTTAAAAAAACCGAACTATATTTCGTCCTTCTATCTCCGTAGGCACAGTTTTAATGATGTCCCTGTGTGAAGTGGTACATGTGTACGAGTTCCTGCCTTCGCGACGGAAAACTGAGCTGTGCCACTACTACCAGCGCTTCAGTGATGCAGCCTGCACCCTAGGTGCCTACCACCCTTTACTCTATGAGAAGAACCTGGTAAAGAGGATGAACAAGGGGTCTAACCGTGACATCTACACACATGGCAGGGTCATGCTCCCTGGGTTCACAACCTTTAACTGCACCAATAGTTCCACTTCCAGCACTCTGTCAAAGACATAATCTGAGGTTAAACTGATTTTCTTGGTACACTTTCATAATGTAACAGTAAAGCACATGATTTAGTCTACAACTGTAACAAGTTCAGTCTGGTCTCTTGAGTGAGATCAGGATTTGGTTCACTGGTGGAAAACGAAAACACCCTAACCACTAGTGGTTGCTTACTGAAGGGAACTTAAATTCACACGGACACAAAATATAGCAGTAAGTTCTGTATATGTGTAAACTACCTTCCATCATTCCTTAACTGATCCCATAGTGGTAAATTCATACTATTTGCTGTTAACAGAAGAAAGATCTCAATACCACTTATCTGCCTCTCATGTGAGAGGCAGCCACTGAAAATTACTTTCAAACACTGCCTAATGTGACACATTACAGCACTGATGTCAAAAGAACTGGCATTTTACAAACGCACTGAATTGTCAAACTAATACAGATTATTAGACAAGATAAAGCTCTTTGTTGGAAAGTAGCCAAGATTCGGTCCATAAACGTGTAGCGCGCAAAGCTCTATGTCCAAAGCCAGCCTGCTACTTCCATAATGTGCAGGTTTAAAATTTATGCAATGCAATCCTAACACATCATTCATGCAATATTGTTAATGATTTGCCAGCAAACACATGCCATTAGCAAAATAATGCTTTAACTGTTTGTATTTTATGAAAGCTGTATTTCAAGGCCTGGAGATCTGTATGCATTCAGTATTTACACTGTGACACCTTTCCTCTCTCTATAATCAGTTGTAGGGCCGTGGAGAATGTCCTCGCATGCTTTACTGAAATTGCACTACATCATACCTTTGGTAAACCTGTATTTAGTTGTATTTATAAACTTGGTGAGAAGGAAACACAGAATGTGCATGTTTGTCCTGTTTTATAGAGATTTGAATTCAATTTAAGCCCTTAAAACATGAAAGCAGATATACTTATGCATTTTGAGTGGGAAAAGGGTGTTTATTTTTCGCAGTATTATTTCTTCAGTGTGTTGATCCAGGATGTGTCAATGTATCAAATCCATTATATTTACTCAAACACACAGATTACAGTATGTAAATACCAAAACACAAATACTAATACAGATTGCATCTAGCGATTATGTTCTTACGAATCCTGAATAATGTGGGACAGGGCCTTTATATTCATATATTATTAAGTCTAAAAGTTAACATGAAATTGAAACTGACCTTTCAAAATCAAAATGTCATAACTTTGTACACTTCTGAAACAACTTTTCAGTCAACGCAAACTTTTCATGTTGACTTTACAGTAGAATTGTGAAGTTGAAATGTGAATTCAATTGGGGGAAAAGCATGATTTTCCATTTCAACATTTTAAACCTTATGTTCTTATTTTTTCATGTAAAGGTATCTTTATGTGTAATTTGTAGCATACACATTAATATAATAAATATATTTATTTGCTCAGACTACAAATAACTGTTAATTTATAAAATGATTGCCGTTGTCTGCAAACTGGACTACTTCAAGTATAAATAAGATGTTTCCTGTAAATGAACTTTGTCATGTCTTACATGGGTAAACCAATTCAGATTGATCAAACAATCTGGGCTATGCACATGTAAACAACTGTCAAATGTATAGATGTTTTATTTGTATCTCAAATGTTTCTCCAATGCAATTAGTTTTTTTTTTTTTCAAGAATCGTCCCTTTAAGCATTCGGTCTGTATTAAGGTTTTTTTTTTTTTTTTACTCAGATTAACTCTCACATTACTCAGATTTGTTGAAATGTAGATTGTTTATGTTTAAATGCCAAAGTTATTGTGTGCACAGACAAGTTATTCAAATGAACTGTTGGACTCGATGGACTGATAAGATTGTAAAATGATGCATAACTGAACAGAATCTTTGTGCTTTTTGGATAGTATGTTACTTGGATGACATCTGATGTCCTTCACTTACAGCAGAATGGGAACAACCACTTCTCTATTATACATTACTGGAACACATACAGATTTATCTTAATCCAGCTTAATGCATGGTTCACAAGTTTAGGCTATTACTAGGAAATCAAGTGGGACATTGTGTGCTCTAAAAAGGTGAGCACGAATATCTAGTTCTCTGTTAACTTGCTGGTGAGGACACTGTAACCTGAGACCTGGCTAACAAATCTCATCATGAATGGCAGTGATATATTTAGAAACATTGTTACTGAAATGCTCTCAACATGACAACATTTCCGTTTAATTTGTTCACAACCATAAGTGTTTTTCCTGTGTACAAATACCTGTGTGCCACCATAACTTTGTCGATGTTATTGTTTCAATTGATATGCTCTATGCAGTACTGTACAGCAATTTCTTCAAAGTCTAGAATGTACTGTGATAAATTCTGGCGAAGACAAACTTGTTTCTCAAAACAAGAAGTAATTTATAAAAAGGGATTGTATCAAGAACACTCGATGTCATAGTCAATTATTGTACTGCTTTAACCTTTAAATTTTATTAAAATTAGTAAATTAATTAAAAGTATCATTACGATTCAACATGTATATATTCTTAAGTGACATTATATGGCTCTTGGCAAACTTACCATAATAACCCTGTCTGTCATAATAGCTCTTCACTGCAACAATTAGAAAACTAATAAAACAACTACTGCTTACACTGTAATTTTGTCACTTTTTTCCTGGGGTATCAATATGGTGTAATATGACAAAAACTAACAAGTCCACTTAGTCCAGGTGATATGTGAAAATAATGTTCACTTTTTTATAAAAGCATGAAACTTGGTACACTTGTATAGTTTGCGGCCCTAAACATTTTCAGAAATGGAACCATTTTACTTTCCGCCATAACCAAATTATGCTAATATTTTATTCAATAATACATTAAAATATTGTTTTCAAGAATACTATCATATATTTCAGAGACATAAAAAAAATATCTCATGTAAGTGTATTTTTCCTTACCTCTCAGGCAGAGTCGTACACTGCAAAAACAGATGTGTCAAAAAACAACACACATGGTTGTGTTGACAGCATTCTGACACATGTTGTGTAGGATTTTAACACACAAT